GGAGTGGGAGGAGAAACCGAACCAGGACCTGGTGATTCAGAGGGGTTTGGGGCTCCCTGCTGCTGCTGGGGCTATTACAGCAAAAGCAGCGCTTGGACATCTTGCCCTTTAAATCGCCGCCGGAGTGCCGAGAGGCTGTAGTAGTGAGGGCTGTCCGCCACAGCCCCGCCCCTTCCACCCAAGGCCCCGCCCCTTCCACCCAAGGCCATGGCCCTTCTGGGGGCATGGAGCTGGGTCCCCGCCACCTTGCCCAGGCTGTGGGCTCTCCTGCATGCTATAAAAACACTCCTTGACCCACCTCGGCCACAACCCCTCTTTTTCGGCATATAAAAGCCAGGACCAGCATCAGCGTGGTGAGCAAGGCAATTGCCCGGAGTCCTGCCAAGCTAAGTTACCCTGGCTGGTGGGGCACAGAGTCCTGTATGGCAGGACTTCGGCTTTCTGCCCTGGGATCCAGTGAGTCTAATGCTGGCCCTGCTTGGCAGACCTCCTGAAGCACTGGGGCCCCAGGTCCCTGGGGGAGAAATGCTGGGCTGAGGGAGAAACTTCCCCTCTGCACAGCTGATTCGGTGACTATCCATGAGGTGGCATCTTTCCCTTTCTCGGTTGGCTTTGGTGCAAAGGGCGTAAGTTAGGATGGCCTGTGGGGCTGACAAAAGCACCCTTCCAAAGTTTTGCTGGCTCTTGGTTTAGTCACTCTATTAACAACCTTCTTTCTGTGATGACTAGTATGATGCAAATGAATTCCAAACAGCATTTCTTTCCCGCCGCTGAGTGTGTTTTGCGAGGGAGGGACTGTCAGGTTTGGGAGTTACCTCTGTCTTGGGCCTTATCCAGGTACAAAAATAGAAGGGAGGATCCCCAACAATTTACTGCACGTTCAGCGTTTTGCCCTTAGGTGAGGCACTGGACTCTAGCTGAGCTTGTTAAATGGAAGGCAAGAATCCTAGAATCCTAGAACACTAGCGCTGGAAGGGACCTCGAGAGGGCATCAGGTCCAGATGCCTGCCTTCATGGCAGGACCAAGCACCATCTAGATCAGTGTTTCTGAAACTGTGTTGCACGGCACATCGGTGTGCCACGAGTCAGTCGGAGGTGTGACGCAGAGAACAATAAAGTTGTCCTTAAAGGGGCAGGCAACCTTTTTTTTTTTTTGCTCAATAACTTTTCCCTTTGGTGTTCCTCATTAAAAAAAATTGTTTGGTGTTCCTCAGTCTTAAAAAGTTTAAGAAACACTGATCTAGATCGTCCCTGATGAGATGTGTCTAACCTGCTCTTAAATATCTCCCAGTTTTAGAGATTCTATAACCCCCCTTAGGCAATTTATTCCAGTGTTTCACCACCCTGACAGTGAGGAAGTTTTTCCTAATGTCCAACCTAAACCTCCCTTGCTGCAATGTGCAGCCTGCTAACGTGGCATCGGCTTCATCTGGTCTCACCTGACCTCGTCATACCTGGGCACGCTGCTTTCTGTGTCTCCATGCCCTCATTTCGCAGACTTGCATTCCTTTCTCTGACCAACGTGGCTTGATTTCCCTGCCAGCTCGGCGTCTCTCTGTCATTCGGCGCTGGGGCTTTTGACACAATTTGGCTTCCGTGGTCCGAGATGAAATGAGCCCCCGCAGGGCACCTTACACCACGAGGTGGCACTCTAATTACTAGAGACTCTGAAATGCAGGTTTTTTAACATCTTCACCACTGGTTCCTAGTGCCGAAGGGAAGAAAATGAGAGAGACAGAAATTAGCTGTCTCCAGGGTCTAACAATCCCCAAGGCGAGCATAACTATTCAGCTGCTTTGCTGACATGCCCGTTGATTCATGCTGCTCTGCTTTCCTTCTTAAACTTTTCCTAACTCTCACTGTCGCACCAGACTGTGGGTTTGACTCTGTTATGTTGCGGGTATGGGTTTAACTCATGATCTGCCTCATTCTGCTTTGCAACAAGAAGAGATCTGCTTTTCTTTTCAAGTGTTCTGTGGTTGTTTTTAATAAGACACAAATTACATATGAAAGATGTTCCCTCCCACAGCATGAAGTAGCAGGGTGAATGTTTGGAAAAGTCAGCACTTCCTGTACCAACCTTACGTTTCATCAGACATCTCACATTGCAGCAGTGCGAACAGGCCCAGGCCTACTTAGCTGAGATATAATGTAATTACAGCATCAGGTATCCGTAATAATATTTTCTGTTTGATTGCAGGGGATGGAGTAACTGAATTTAGATTGAGGGGCGGGGTCGTGTCAGCTTGGTAGGTCTTCATCTGCCAGCAGCTAGTTCAGTTTATAATGAATCTGGTTGTATTCTTCCTATGTCTGTAGTAGCGTGATAAAGTGAGGGTGCATCTACACTCCACGCTTATTTCAGAATAAGCGATTCCAGAAGAAATACTCCAAAACAGCTTACAGGAAACTCCCGAGATGTGATTGCCTGAACTGCGACTCCCCTGCACTCGACAACCATTTTTGTAAGTGTGGAAGGGGCCTAAAACCCCCGACTTATGTCCTCAGCCTGCACTTACGACAGCGCACGGCGCCTATCGTAAATGAGGGTTCGAGTTACAGCGCCCCCGACTTGCAATGCTTCCCCAAGAACCGATCGTGTCGCAAGTCGGAGGCCTTGAGTATTTCAAAATAGTGCATCTATGCTATTAGTCCGAGGCAGGCTCCCCTAATGTGGATGTGCTACCTCGATATAAAGCCCCAAGAGGCACTGGGGAGTAATTACTTGGAACAGGCTGGGGAGGAGTGATTTCGAAATAGCAGCAGTGGAGCGTCCACACTACCACTATTTCGATATCTCTATTTCAGAACAGGCGTTATTCCAGCCAGGCTCACAGCAACACATCCATGAGAAGCACCAGAGCGCCAAGGGGCAGCTCTGGCTCCATGTTGCAGAGTGCTGTGGTGTCCCGAGTGAGGGCAACCAGAGCGCACAGAGACAAAATGCTTTGCTGTCCCTCATCGAGGTAAGCAAGCAAGCAAGCAGGGAAACCTGAGAACCGGCTGTCCGGGGGGGGGGGAGGGGGTCCGTTCAAGCACAGGCCTCAGATAGCCTCAGGCAGCAGCCACACAAAGGAACTCCTGACCTGATGCCCTGCTGGACCTGGTTCCGGCCGGCCTTTTAGAGCAAATGCGATTCAGAGTCCACTCAGTGTGGACGCGCTATTTCGAAATGCATTTTGTGTGTAGACGTGTTATTCCGAAATAAGCTATTTCGAATGAACTATTTCGAAATAAGCTATTTCAAAATAACGCCTTAGTGTAGACGTACCCTTAGTTCTCAACTTCTAGCCCTTGTCTGAGGGTTACCCTTTGCTAGGCCTACCCAGGGGAGCTGACAGTCTGTGCCGACCACTGGGCAGGGGTAGGGAGGCTCCATGCTCCCAGAAGGGGCGGGGCCTCAGACAGAAGGGGTGGGGTTTGGGGCAACCAGCTCTCTATGCCACCTGGAGTGTTGCCCTCCCTTCTCACCCTCAGAGCCACGTGAAGTGTGTGGCATGATGCTCCATAAGTGATTTAAAGGCCTGAGGGTTTGGCCTCCCCTACCCCATCAGCAGGCCTGGTCCTATCTATATCAGTTTAGACTGGGGAGTAGTTAAAGACGCATAGGATAGGCATCTTTGAAAATACCAGTAGTAGGGCTGCTGAAAAAACAGATGCCTTTTCCACAGCTCATCCCAATTTCACAACTTTTGTTGCAATTTAGGACACAATGGGGACATTTCCCAGGGAACAGAAATGCCAAATATGGTTTTTTAGATGACATTGGAAAGGGGGAGGAATATAAAATGTGATGTTATAAAAGTTCAAATGAAATCAAACGAAACCAAGTGGAAACAAAACTTTTTAACATTATGGACAAAAAATATTTTAACATCCTTCCATCAGAAACTTAGACACCATCTCACAAAATGTTTTGTTCTAGTGAAACTGCACTGACTGAAAACCGTTCCATTTCGTGGTTTTTTTTAAACCAGCTCTACCTGATGTTACTCTTCAACGGTTGCCACTGAGAACTATTCAAATGAGAACCTCTGAATGTAAGCCTCTCCAAAACTCAGCGATCAGTCCTATTAGAGAGTGAGAATTGCAGAGAAATTCATAATTTAACACCTCCCCCCACAAAATCTAAGGTGTGTTTGGATTCAGTGGCTGAAGCTCTCTCTGAATTAAAACTTTTTAATGCTCCCGGTTTAATGAGAGCCGATTAATTTCCAGGCCACCTGACTTTGCAGAGTCACTGATGGTGCAGATGTAGGGAATGAGGGAAGCCCACATATTTTGTAATTTTTCTCTCTGAAGAAATCAGCAAGATCTTGAGCACAGAAAGAAGTGGAGGCAAGAGGATGAAGGGTTTGAAGAGTGAGTCAAACGTGGCAAAAAAGGTGTCTGGCAGGCATGAGCTCCAAAGAAGTTGGAGAAGTAGAGTTGTTCAGCTAGGAAAGTGACAGATTGAATCTACAGACTCAGATGTAATATGGTCTGTGAAGACATGCCTCAGATTTGCCTGCCCTTGCTAATGAAAATGGGTGAAAAGCTGCGCCGAGCTGAGGGTGCTCGAAAGGGGCTGAAAATAACAGCAAAAGGAGTTAAAATGAGATGAGACCTACACAGAAAACAACCTCAGAGGAGCAACGCTGCAGACTTAACCTGAAGCCCTGCAAAGAGAGGGAAATCTCCGGGATACTTGTTGTTGGAGCATGTTTTACTACGTGTTTGTACAGCATCCAGCACAATGGGATCCTAAACCCGCTGAGCTCTCTGGCACTACAGCAATCTAGATATTTAATAATAATACACTGTACGGTCTCTTGAATGGGCTGGACTTAAGGGGCTTGCTGGAAAGCAGCTCGCATTCCCTGTTCACCTCCTTGGCTGCAAATCATTTTAGTGCGTCGCTCAAGGAATGCCACAGCTCTCAGATTACAGCCAAAGCCCATGATATCACCCATCAGCCTCACTGGTGTGTCTGAGCTTGGAGGGGGTGGGTCCTGGGAGGGGTTTGCTTGGATAAGTCCAGTGAAATTTGCCAGGAAGAAGCAGCACCAGGATTTCTGCAGCACATTTCTCTGGCTGCAGGATATTTTCGTAAGCGGGGAGGACCTCTCCAACGGCGCTCGGCTCAGAAGAGGAACTTCAGTGCAGAGAGAGAAGAAACAGAGGTCACTTCTGCACCAAAGCATCTCCCGGTAAGAGCAATCCTGCTGCATTGCAATCCAAAGAGGGGCATTTATATTACAGCAGCAATGTCAGACTAATGTGTGTGGGTAATGTTTAGTGTGTTGAGGTTCTGACAGCCTGCTTAAACCAACCCCCTGCCCAGCCTGCTTCCTGGCTGAAAGTCGACCTCGCTCTTCAGCACTCTTTGAACAGCTTTTATTTCACTCCAATTCACCTGAGGAAGTGGGTTTCGGCCACGAAAGCTCCTGATTCTATCTGTTTTGGTTAGTCTCTAAGGTGCCACAGGACCACTCGTTATTCTCTATCTTCAGTCGGTTATTCAGCATCTACATCTAGAAAAGGCGGGCAAAGGGGTGGAGAGAACTAGTGAAACAGATCTCCTTGTATTCCTTTGGCGGCTTTTTTTTTTTTTCCTACAGATTTTCTCTGCTGGTTGGCAGAGACGGTTTGTGGTCAGGTAAAATGTTCTCTCCTGCTCACTTGCAGGAATGAGCTGGGGCTGACCTAATGAAGTGGAAATGCCATGTTACTAAATACCTGCAAGCCGAGACAGCGTAGATGCTGTCACAAAGTTAACCTGTGCCTGATTGAGTCTAGAAAGCTAGAGTCCACCGTAATAAACTCGGTGTAAATGTCACAGATCGGAGACATCAGGAGCCATGTAAATTCTCTTGCCCGAATAAACAATTCTCAAGAGGTAACTTTTAAAAGTCAATGTGCCCCGGCCAGGGATGGTGTGAATCAGAAACAGATTTATTTTTATCAGAGGAAATTTTCTTTTTGTTGTGCTAAGATTTGGTTGACTCCAATGCTCTGCCCCTGAAGCAAGTTTGTCTTTGCACCAAACTGTTCTTTCTTTAGAGGTTCTTTAGTGCTTTTTATCTGCAACAGTGTCCCAGTAGGTTTCAGGAGTATCATGAGAGAGAATTGTAGAGCGATACCTAGAGATGAACCCAGCTGCACAGCTAAATACAACCTAACAAAGCTTCAGCGCCGATACTTCTGACGAGCGCTTTCTAGAATGAATGCGGCTTTTATGTCGCCCTTGTGCTGAGGGTGTTAGAGAAGCAAACGGTTCTCTTTTCAGATGAGGGCTACCACTTAGCTGAAAACAACAGGTGGCACTATCTGCAGCACCGGAGGGGAACCTGAGATCTATTGAGAGGCGAGCTTGAAGCTAAACCTGCCTTGGTTACCTGGGAGTATAGGGAAAAAACCAGTTAGCATCCCAGGTGCGAATCCATTCATAAAGACAGTGTCGTGCTCTTTTCAAACATCTGCTCGGTAGAAACTGAAAATAATTTGCTTTAGGGTTTGCACTCATCGGTTTAATTGCACCCACTTTATGACACCCACATAGTGTCTCCTGAGTTGGATGCTGCAGGGCTCTTACAAATCAGACAATGCAAACATTGGCACGAGCTGCTGTTACAGTAGAAAATCTAAGCATCTTTTTCGACCGTACGTTTGGTCGCTCAGTGTTAAGTGAACTTTGAAAACACACAAGAGAAAGGGGCTTTGGGGTTGTTGTTTTTTACATAAGCGATAACATTTGAGAGAGTCAAGTGGAGAGAATAGTGTAACAAGGTGAATTTTTAAGATTCACATATGATAGAGACCCAATTTTGAACCTTTCCATCACTGGCACTTCTCAACTACCAGCAAATAAGATAAACTTAAAAAACAACAAATAGTCTGGTAGCACTTTATAGACGAAGAAAACATGTAGATGGTATCATGAGCTTTTGTGGGCACAGCCCACTACTTCAGATGACCAGAGTTTAGGTTGTGCAGACCCAAAATAAATAGGGGAGAAGGGAGAGAGGAGAAGGGAAAAAAAGGAAGGAGGTGGGAAACAAAGAGCAGAGGGTATGAAAACATCAAAGGGAAAAACAAATAGGCAGAACTGGTAACCTATAAGCACCTAAAGACTGGATAGCTAAAAGCAGATAAGGATCATCGGATATCAATAAGAGAGGAAGGGTACTAACATAAGAATCTACAGAGACAAAGAGCTGTTGACACTTTCATTGAATGTTAGGTTGATAACGTCCCACTATGTCTGGAGGAGGTTCAAAGCCCTGTGCAGCGGTCTTGGTCAAACTGGACAAGCTAAGCAGAGGCTGTCCGGGTTAGTACTACCAAGGAAACCCAACTGCAGCCGAAAGTTGTCTTAATTAGTCAGCCTCATTCCACCTCCGAGACACTCCCGTCCCCCTCTGTGGATAAATGGTCAGTGTTGGCTGCTGGCGGTGCTGTCTTTTCCATGATGAAATAAGACTGATGACTTGTGGTCATCAAAGTTTCCTGGAAATTGCAAGTTGTTACCCTCTAGGTTCCATTCCATACCTACGTTCTCCTTCCAGGTTCCTATTTAAACCATTATTAATTCTTATCCTCAACTTCTTTTTTTTTTTTTTTTGGATAGTGTTGCTGTACACCATGACACACCTGCCACGTTCCACCCTAGAGTTGGCTACTCTCCAGCAAGGGGCCGCATTATTGCACAGTCCATCTCTCAGTTTCTTTCTAAAGCATTTAGGGTGGAAGGTGCAACTGTACGTAAGTGTGAAACGCTGTAGAAATGGGGAGGAAGGTGTATATGGTACCACCAATGATCAGTTGGATCCAGGGTTGGGAAAAGATAGATTGGTGTGTAAAAATCTACAGTCTGCAAATAGCCAGTGGCACAGTAAACATGGAAAGCATCTATTAAAAAAATTAAAAAGCAGAGCAAGTCCCAGACAGTAAAGTGGAGTGTATTTTAGAGAGATATTATATATCAGCTCCCTGCATGTGACACACATAGGACTTTATATCTTTGTCCATTGGTATAAAACAGAGTTGTTGACTCGAATCCCATGACTTGAACTTAAGTCCGACTTAAGTCGCCTAAGTGACTCGACTTAAGACTCGACTCGGGTTCATTGTTTGTGACTTGAGACTCGACTTATGACTTGCTAATTTTGTTAAATCGACTTGGTGAAAAAATTGTCCGAAAATGCCGATATTGATTTTTTAAATTAAAACTTGATATTCGACTTGGGTCTTGACTCGAAAGTGACTTTAGGGACTCGAGACCCTACGTGCTTATTAAGTGGAGCAATCTCCAGACTAGGGTCTTCAAAAGAGAGGTAGGGTCTGACTCCCATTGAGTTTGGGTGGGACTTGGGTTCCCAATTCCCTTAGGCTTCATGCAAAACCCAGCCCGCATGCCCATCCATGGTAAGGGTTGTTCCATGTTACATCAAGGGAAGACCAAAGCCAAAAAGTGACACCAGGTAGATGTCCACATAATGGAAAACCAGATAGGGCTATGCCTCTACAGATTCACCATTCCAGCTCTCTGGCTGCATTGTGAGTGATAGTTCAGGTACTTTTAGGCTGAATCAGCATTATGCAGGCATTTTCCTTTTTTTTTAAAGCTGGCACTGAAAGTTTGCTAGCATTCCACAAAACCACTTCAGAGCATGTCTGCATGCACACACATGTTCTATTGCGATGAATCCAAGCATGCTAGCTGTGGATTTCATTGCATTCCCCCATGGTAGCCTCTTATTCATAATGTGTCAATCACATGCCATTAAAGAATGGAGTGCTGAACTGGGACTCAGGAGACTGGAGCACTGATCCCAGCAGGTCTGCTGGGGGAGCACAGGCATGTCACATTCCCTTGTTGTGCCTCGGTTATTCTATCTGTACAATGGGGATAATGACACTACCCTTCTTTATAAAGCCTTTTGAGATCTATTGATACACACCGCTGTGTTAGGCAGTATTATAATAACCTTACTATATATTTTAGAAAAGTGTCTGTCTGTCTGTCCATCTGTGGGTCCGTTTGTTCAAGAACACCTGCAAAACAGTAAGAGATAGGACTACCGCATTTGGGATGCAGCTTACTCTTATCATATCTTAAAGCAAGGTCAGGGTTTGGTTGTGCCAGGACAATGGGATGCAATTGTTTCTCATAGCATAGAAAGGGAAGTAGTTATACTACAGGAAGTAATTATACTACAAAATACTGGCAGGAAGTAATTATACTTCAAAATGACCACAGGGAGAAAGCAAGGGGCCAGAAATGGAGACCGAGGCAGCTATAACCCTATTGGGTCAGCAGGGGGCAGGAGTGGAGAAAGGGACATCTATCTGCTCTGTATTTCAGAAAGTTTGTCTGTTTGTGTGTCTGTCTGTCTGTCCCCAGCCAGGGGTCATGCATCCCTCTCCCATCTGTGCCCGCTGGAACTGCAGCGGTCATGCAGAAGCACTTCTCACCTGGCTCCAAACTGCTGCAGTGAGAGGGGGCTGGTCCTCTCTCCCCTGGGACAGCCTGAGTACTGAACCCCCCGGCCCCAACCCCATCACAGGACAACTATTTAAATGAAGAAAAACAAAACTTTTTTGACTTAAGGACCTGAGCAATGCTGAGCAAATCTTCTAGTAATAAACAAAAAAAGAATCCAGTTCGTGGTTCAAGTTGTCACTGCTTCTGTTAAAACAAATAAGGAGTCTGGGCAGACTAATTGTCCTGGGCTGTGTCTAGACTGGCCAGTTTTTCCGGAAAATCAGCCACTTTTCCAGAAAAACTTGCCAGCTGTCTCCACTGGCCGCTTGAATTTCCGCGAAAGCACTGACTTCCTACTGTAAGAAATCAGGGCTTTTTGCGGAAATACTATGCTGCTCCTGTTCAGGCAAAAGACCCTTTTGCGCAAAACTTTTGCGCAAAAGGGCGAGTGTAGACAGCTGAGATTTGTTTTCCGCAAAAAAGCCCCTATCGCGAAAATGGCGAGCGGGGCTTTTTTGCGCAAAAGCGCATCTAGATTGGCCACAGATGCTTTTCCACAAAAAGTGCTTCTGCGGAAAAGCGTTCGTGCCAATCTAGATGCGCTTTTCGGAAAATGCTTTTAACGGAAAACTTTTCCATTAAAAGCATTTCTGGAAAATCATGCCAGTCTAGACGTGAAGTTTAAGAAACCGTAAGACAGTTTTTTTTAACTTGCACTAAGTA